CATTTGTGATTCCTAATCTATCATTTTATAGATTGATAATTATTTTCTCTATGATGAACCAAGATAAGATTTAAGGTGGATATTTAAATTTTTAGAGTGAAAATAATTACAATCGAACTTATTTATAATTTTCGTAAAAAAAATGAACACGAAGTACTTTTAAAATGAACATGTAGTCCAAAATGAACATTTAGTACACTAAAGATGAACATTTTATACAGAAAAAATAAAAATATTTTAACGATTTATATTATTTTCGGAAATTTGAACCTATATGAATGTATAAAAATCATGTTCGTTTTTAATATACTAAATGTTCATAACATTTGTTTACATGTTCATTTTAAATACTAAATGTTCTTTTTTTTTTGTAAAGTGTTCATAGGTTTTACGGAATGCTCATTTTATTAGGTATGGTCCCCTATTCTATGATTGTATGATAATTGATAAATGTTCATTTTTAATATACTAAATTAAATGTTCATTTTTTATGTGTTCATTTTTTTGTTACTAAATGTTCATTTTTTTGACGTGTTCATAATATTTTTTTTTTTACTTAATGTTCATTGTTAAGGCCATGGCCTAGTAATTTTATGATAATCATGCTCATTTTTAATATACTATATGATCATATTTTAACGTATTTACTTTTTAATAATAATTTTTAATTTTCTTACGTGTTCATTTTTTTTACGTGTTTATATTTTTACTACATGTTCATTTTATAGGTCGTGGTGCATCTATCCCTAGTGCAGCTAAGACTTAATGAAATTCATTGACCAACTTTATTTTTGAAGGTTGGACAACTTAAATTTGATTTTTAGTTATAACCTGGCTCGGCCCAAAAATGGCCTAAAAATCCTAATCTTATGGCTCAAAATAATAGGTTTGGACCATACATAAGAGTTTTGGCCCAAGCCCAAAATAGGTAACTTTTTTGAAAGCATGGCCCATAATCAAGTCTACATTGCTTAATAAAATCTCTCTCACTTGTATAGTTGTATAATTGTCATTTGTTGTTGGGAGGCAATATAAAGAGCCCGGTAGGATAGAAATCATTCACAAGTCAACCTTACCCGAGTTAGTAGCCTAAAGGCCCTAAACACTTTGGAGGTGGAGAGAAAGGTGAAGGATTCTCCCAAAGTGTCCATAATGACCCTATTCGTCCATAATAAATCTAAATCTGAAATATAGATCCGATTAAATAGCTCTAAATCACAATAGTGATGAATGGGAACAAGACAATTAAGTTCATCGGGTGGAACACAGTTCCGCTAAAATAAAATTCATCGAGTGGAAATGTTTGGTAATAGTATTTTTTTGGGGTGAAAATGGATTCAATTAAGTCATTACCATTGACCATGTGTTTGGTTTAAAGGTTTAGGAAACCATTAACATTACCTAGTGGTAATGGTTTTTACCTACTTGTTGTCTCTCTAAAACTTGAGGTAACAAATACCCTTACCCTTCTCAACGAAAAAGAAAAGGAGGTAGGTTTAAGTATTTTTTTTAGGGAAATTATCAATAATACCCTCCTGGTTTTGGCTGTTATCAATGATACACATCATTAAACTTTCATCATCACCGGTACACCTAAACTTTTCACTATATACCTACAGTGACCTTAACGTTAACTAAACGTTAATTAGGCTGTGTTGTTAGCGTTTTAAAGGTTAATTAGGCTTAATCCCTCTCATTTAATTTCCCTCCAAGTTTCTCTTTCATTTCCCCCTCCTTTTTTCCCCTACTTATACCCTTTCCCTTCCTGTTTGCACTCCTCCTTTCCATTCCCATTCACGCTTTTCACTCTCTCCCCTGTTCTTCTTCTTTGCTAAACCCCTTTTCATTTAATTTCCTCCAAATTATTCAATTGATACTAGAAAACTAGGAGTGTGGAAATTAGGATTCTATTTTTTACATTTTTGGTATGTTCTATGTCAAATTCCACATTAATTAGCTTAAAGGTTAACGGGAAATAAAATTTGTCTTTATATCACAGAGAATGGGAGTTCGCCGGTGTCTTGAAGTATAGAAGCTGGGCAATGTTAACTACTTGAACGCACTTAATTAAGCTGCAGGAGAAATTGGTATCTGATAGAAAGGCTCAAAAGATAACAAATACTCTTCTTTCTTTGCAACATCCTCCTACATATACCCTTGGAAAACGTAAAACAGATCACAATTTGCTAGTTTCCGAGCCTGAGTTGATACATATGGGAGCCGAACTACATTACACTCAAAGGGGAGGAGACGTAACCTTTCATGGTCCACATCAAGCAATATTATATCCTATCATATCTCTTCGTGGTATTGGAGTTGGTGCTCGAAGTTATGTGGAGAAACTTGAGCAAACAATGATCGAACTTGCAGCCATGTATGGATTTGAGGCTCATCCTGGACACAAAGGTGAAATTGGGGTATGGGTCGGAGATGGAAAGATTGGTGTAATTGGTATTTGTATTCAGTTAATACATTGTCATGCCAGACAATTTGATTTTAGTCCTGTTTTGATAGATAAAAGCAACTATGACTTTTGTATTTCTCCATTGATCTAATTCTGAGAATTTTCTATGCGTCATACACTTACACAGTTACACTTGTTCTTGATTATCTGAAATTGTAGCTCTTTAGCTTTTTGAGCAAGTAGTCATCCCCAAAAATGATATAAAGGGTACGGTACAAAATAAAGGGAAAATTACAGAAGAAGAAGAGTAAGGGAGAGAGTGAAGAGCGTGAATAAATGGGAATGGAAAGGGGGAGTGCAAACAGGAAGGGAAGGGGTATAACTTATAAGTAGGGGAAAAAAGGAGGGAAAAATGGAAGGGAAGTTTGGAAGGAAATAAAATGAGAGGGGTTAGCCTAGAGGTGATCATTGGGCGGAACGGGCCGGGCCGAGGCTAAAAAATTATGCCCATTTTTTGGGCTGAAATTTGTGTGCCCAAACCCGCCCAAAATGGTCGGGCCAAGCGGGCTTTTTGGGCTGGGTCAAAAAATCAACTAAATATGCATAAAAACGCATTTCCAAACCCGCCAAAAAAAAAAAATCGGGCTTGGTCGGGCCAACTTTGATCACCTCTAGTTTAGCCTAATTAACCTTAAAATGCTGACAACACAGCCTAATTAACGTTTAGTTAACGTTAAGGTCACTGTAGGTATTTAGGGAAAAGTTTAGGTGTACCGTTGATAATGAAAGTTTAATGATGTGTATCATTGATAAAAGCCAAAACCTGAAGGGTATTATTGATAATTTTCCTTGTTTTTTTTATGATTAAACCAAACAAATGAAAAGATAAGAGTTATTTATTTCTTTCCTCCCTGTTATTTGTTTCCTTTTCATTTCATTTTTAATATTTATACCAAACGCCCCCTAAAAGTTTAATTGTCTTGTCTCAGATTGAATAAACTTAATCCAATTGGTATGGATTTAAATGTACATTTTCGTATATATTAGCTGATATAGATAGTGTTGTTAGATCAAAAGTGACTTGGCATGGATGACTAATTATCAAATTGACTTAATATGATTCTAAATCACTCAGAAAACAATTCATTAGAAACACTATCTTAGAAGTAAAAATTCACCCCAACCGTATTGTCAATTTAACATGACTACATGTTGATTCTCCTAACAATATGGACTCAAATAAGGAGGGTTTTGGTACTCATGCTCAGAACTATGGTGGCATGGACTACGCCACGCACATTACATGGACACGAACCGGCTAGACGGTAGCACAAATGAGGATGCCCTTTGTAGTCTACACTACCCATGGAAGCTTTTCAAATAGCATTTATAAAACTCACTGCATAAGTAAAACTTCCTTGTCGTTCAAAAATGTGGGTCAATGGTTTCTCACAAACAAAAGTAGTAACTAAACACACATAATATCTCCCATCATTTGAATTACTTTCAATAACGTAACCCAACCTAAACATTTGATTTGACACCTCTAATATCTCCCATCATTTGAATTATATTTCTTATTTATAATTTGCAAATGCAACCTCAAAATTCTTTATGAAAAATTGATTTTAATGAGTCATATGCTCTCGGTCTCTATTATATCTTATTAAATTATATAGATTGGTAATAATATGTTACTACCTTAATTTTTTAAAATTCTCTATGCTTTTCGTTTCAAATTGTTTAAAATACACTTTTATAGTTTAGTACGTACCAAAAAATAGGATTAAAATTATATAGGATTATAAGAATATTAGACGTAAATTACCTTTTCCTGTTATCCTTTTACATAAATTAGTCATATGCCTAGCTTAAAAATGGTTTTCAAACAATCAAAACTTCATTCTTCTTGATTATTTCATGTCCATTTTAACTTTGAAATTGTTATAAAAGTAAGTCCACTAAATACTGGCAGTCATTCCATTAGATGTGAAGTTGCTACTATAGATTGCTAGGCATGACCCTCAATACAACTACTCTTTAACAATTCAGAATAAGATTTATTACGTGAGAAAGAAAAGGCTTATATGATGAAGTTACACTTTCCACTTGCCAATACCACTGCACAGCATATTTAGGTCGGTTTAGTTGACCTCTTTCTACATGCATCTTTATTAGACTAAACTAAACAGATATTAATGGAGAGTTTTGACCATATATAAGCCTAAAAGAATTTTATCTTAAAAACCACTTAATAATATGTGGTGAGCCCACTAGACATATATGTTAATCACCCTCTTTTTCTTTGATTATACAAATTATATATTTCTTAACATTGTCCAATACCAAATATATTATCAAAAAGACTTCTAAATTATATCTTTTGTCTCTCAAGAAATTACCATTTCGCCCATAAAACATGTAAAAGAAATATATGATATTTTAATATTTTGACCAATGCTGTCAATTGGCATGCAATTGAGCTGCCATGCATTATATTCTATTAGTAACAAAAATTCCTAATTGTTTCAGGGTACAAGCCCACACACGCCCCTTTAAAGGTCCGCCATTGCACCCGTTATACACAAGACGAAAAAAAAATGGAGCAAAAGAGTTTTTTGTTATCAGCATTGAGTGTTGGTGTTGGTGTTGGAGTTGGGCTTGGATTGGCATCTGGCCAAACTGTTGGTAAATGGATTGGTTCTAATGAATCTTTGGATAGCATCTCTGCTGATCAAATTGAAAATGAGTTAATCAGGCTTCTTGTTGATGGCAAGGATACTAAAGTTTCATTTGATGAATTTCCCTATTATTTAAGGTAATTTTAATATTTCCCCCCCTTTTTTCCAAAATAAAAAAGACATGATGTTTGTATTTTCCCGTGTTTTTGATAGATATTGTTTTTGGGATTAGAGTTGTGGATAAATAAAGGTTGTAACTTTATGATGATTGTTGGGTTTATTTTGATGAGAAAAGTGCAAACTTGTACAGAAAGTAATATTTAGTCGTACTTGGTAATATTACTTTGTTGGCTAATACCATTTAAACAAGTTGTCTCCTAAAGTTGATCAGCTTTATTACTATGAAATTTGGTAATGTAGGAAATATTTTTCAAGATCTTGTTAATTTATGATGTTGATGACAGTGAGCAAACCCGAACACTATTGACAAGCGCGGCATATGTACATCTGAAGCATGCCGAAGTTTCCAAGTTCACTCGAAATCTTTCACCTGGAAGCAGGGCAATTCTGCTATCAGGGCCAGCTGGTATGGGATCTTTCTATTTCTTAAAGTTATTTTATGTTTTGTTATGTTGTTACCTTATGATAAATGTTTGATTTTCTATTTACTTCTCTTGCAGAACTCTACCAGCAATTGCTTGCTAAAGCGTTGGCAAACTACTTCGATGCTAAGTTGTTGCTGTTGGATGTAGCTGACTTCTCCATGAAGGTGACTGTTCCTTAGCTAGATTGAATAGACCTGTTAATAAATTGTTGAATTTGCACTAATGTTCATTTGATATTGGTTCTTGCAGATGCAGAACAAGTATGGCTGCAACAAAAAGGAACATGTAAGCTCTCCCTTCACAATTACAAATTCTAGTCCTTTAGATTCTGTATACCGTGTCAGCTAATCTGCACATGCGATATGCTTTTCTTAAAGGGTTTTGAAAGATGCCAAGCTTCTTTCAAATAGCATTATTGAGGCAGAATTGATCTTTCAGATTTTTTGTTTGACTTGTGTTTTTGCTGATTCACTTGATATTTATGCAAGAGAAATAGGTTACTGTATAATAAAAGAAAGTTTCCATGATTATCTTTGCTCACCTTGTCGTTTTTTTTCTTTGCTTTAGCGAATTTCAAGGTCCATATCAGAAGCAACATTGGGGCGTATGTCCAGCATGCTAGGCTCCTTCTCTATTCTTCCTCCAAGGGATGTGCCTAAAGGTATATAGCTTCAGTTATCCTTTTTAAATATCATTTGTGAGTTAGAAGGATAGTAGCTAACTTATAATTTTGCATTTGTCAACCAATACAAAGTATATGCTATGGCATACCAGTATTTTTTGCTACCTTCTTGGCTTTTTTTTCAGTAGTTCTCATGATTGTTTCTTTCAGGCACATTGCGTAGACAAGCTAGCACTACAGATGTCATCAAATCCGGGTATAATACCTTTGACGTTGTTGTTGGATTATTAAAGAGAGTGTACAGCTATTTTATTTTAGTATGTTAGTTCTGAGCTTATACTTTTGTGTAGGTCTGGAGACGGTGCTAGTTTCCCTCCCAAGCATCGTAGAAATGCCTCAGCATCAACTGATATGAGTAGCCTTGCTTCTCAATCCTCTTCAGCAAACTCAGGTCTTGTCTTTATATCAATCTTCTGCTAGCAAATTCTAAACACAAAAGAAAAACCTAGAAACGTTTTTCAGCAAGATAACTTTGATTTGGCTTGATCCTGTTTTATTCAGTTTGCACATAATAGTGTTTAATATGAATTGAATTTTGAATTTGTATTCTTAATCTGATTGGTGGTTCTTTTGATTAATTTTGGCTTCAGTAAAGCGCCCAACAGCTTGGTCATTTGATGAGAAGCTGTTTCTACAAGCACTTTACAAGGTGAGTATTAGAATTTCAGTGCTTTCTTTCTCATCAGTCCTTATTAAGATAATACTCTTTTCGAACTCTGTAGTCGTTATAGAGTTTGAACTACGGACAATTAAACTTAGAAATGTCACATTTGATCTGCAGGTGTTGGTCTCTACATCGGAAAAGAGTCCCATCATATTGTACGTCAGGGACATTGAAAGACTGCTGCTTCAGTCAGACAGGCTATACAATTTGTTTGACAAATTGTTGAGCAAGTTGAGTGGTTCAATCTTGGTGCTTGGTTCTCGTATGTTAGATGCTAACACTGAGTACGAGCAAGCGGATGATAGGCTTACCTTATTGTTCCCCTACAATATTGACATAAGGCCTCCAGTAGATGAGACGAATTTGGTTAACTGGAACTCCCAACTAGAGGAGGACATGAAGACGATCCAGTTTCAGGACAACAGGAACCACATTGCTGAGGTTCTTGCAGCTAATGATCTTGTTTGTGATGATCTAGGCTCTATCTGCCATGCAGACACTTTGACCCTTAGCGATCATATCGATGAAATTGTAATGTCTGCAATATCCTTCCATTTGATGAATAACAAGGAGCCAGAGTACCGAAATGGGAAGCTGGTCATATCTTCTGGCAGCTTGTCCCACGGGTTGAGTTTATTCCAGGAAGGCAAAAAAATGGGCAGAGCCAAGATGGAAACAAATGGTGAAACCGGAAAGGTTTGTCTTCTTAAATTGATACTGTAATAAATACAGGTTTTTGAACATACTAGGACAGCTGAAGTGTACTTTTACATGCTTACGTTCATTTTTTTGGATGAAATTTTCAGGCAGTGGATGATAATGCTGCGGCGAAGCCAGAGGGGAAGAATGAAACCTCTACTGGTGAAAGCAAAGGCGAATCAGTCACTCTGACAAAGAATGCTGAGAATCCTCCCCCTGTGAAGGTAAATCATATCTGATGTTTTTCAAAATTGACATGACATAAGAACCATCATTAGCTTAATTTACCATTGTCTACTGAAAATGTGATCATATTGAACAGGAAGTGGCTCCGGACAATGAATTTGAGAAGCGAATAAGGCCAGAGGTCATTCCTGCAAAAGAGATAGGAGTATCTTTCAATGACATTGGATCCCTGGATGAGATTAAAGAGTCACTTCAGGAGCTAGTGATGCTTCCCTTGAGAAGGCCAGACCTATTCAAAGGCGGCCTTTTGAAGCCTTGCAGAGGTGTGCTGCTCTTTGGTCCTCCTGGTACTGGTAAAACTATGTTGGCCAAGGCCATTGCCAATGAAGCCGGGGCTAGCTTCATCAATGTGTCAATGTCCACCATCACATCAAAATGGTTTGGTGAAGATGAAAAGAACGTCCGAGCACTGTTCACACTTGCAGCCAAAGTTTCTCCCACCATTATCTTTGTTGATGAGGTTGACAGTATGCTTGGGCAAAGAATTAGAGTTGGGGAGCGTGAGGCTATGAGGAAAATCAAGAACGACTTTTTGTCACATTGGGATGGACTTATGACTAAACCTGGGGAGCAGATTCTTGTTCTTGCTGCTACTAACAGGCTAGTTGACCTTGATAAAGCCATTATCAGCCGATTTGAGCATAGGTTTGTTCACTGTTTTTAATCATGCAATTGTTCTCTATATGCAGCATTCTTCGATGTTATTTGTAGTTGCAAATTTCCATGACTAACTCTCAAATCTTTTTCATCACAGAATCGAAGTGGGTTTTCCAACCCTTGAAGAGGCCCGAGATTTGTGAAATAGTTTACTTTAATTCTTAATTATGTATGAAGAAGAAATTATGTCTTTAAAGAACGAACAAATTCAAGTTTTTTACAACAATGCTTTACTCTTTTCTTTAGGATACTCATACTTCAATAATTTTGCAACATCTATGTGATATATGTTACATTTAACATCATGGATTATGTAATCTTAAATTTATAGTCTTTTCTATATATGCGCCTAGGCGGATGGTAACTGAGTGTTAAATTTTTTATTGCAATATCTCAATTGTAACTTTTAGTGTTTCCGGTGAAAAGTACATACCAAATATTGCATACAATTACTTAATGATGGAAACAGATTTTATAAATCAAAACTCGAATCACAAACTTTCAAAACTTACTGCACAATTACACATTCTTTTTCTTGTAAAAAGAGGTTAGTTGCTTGATGGGTAAGTGAAGGGTTATATAATCGCCAAAACAGCCGGCAGCCGGCAACTCGGAATTGAAAGATTTTAGAAAATATCTTTTAAACTTATCTTTTCAGAAAATCTATCTTTTTCAAGATGAAATGAATAATTCGAGTGTACTATAAATATGCTCATATGCATTCATTCAAAGTTGAGGCTGACGAAGTGTAGTGGTCGTGCTTAATGGTTTTATCCTTCACCACGAAGCTAAGTCAGTCCTCCTGGTCAAAGTTCCTATCAGGTTTTTGGTTACAGTACGTCTAGTGAGTTCCAGACAGATCTTGAGTGTTCAACATATTAGTTTTATCTCTTTATTCATAGATATGTATTTAGGGATATTCGATGAGATCTTGTAATGGGAAAAAGGGTTTTGAGTGTTTTGTATTTTGGGGTGAGATTGTGAATTCTCTTAAATTCACGCTTGTGTATGAGTTTGAAATCTGGTAAAATTCGAGTGGTAGCTGTGAGTGCACAGTGAGTGAAAGGAACCTGAGAAGTGTCTTGGGTCACCTAGGAAGTTTCCTGGGTAAAGGGAGAAAAAGGGTCCTGAGAAGTGTCTTAGGTCTGGTAGGAAGTGTCCTATCATAGAGTCAAGTGTCCGTGGCGGAACTTGCAAAGCAAAGGTCTGTGTAATAGGTTGTACTAGGAGAGTTGCCTATTATAGTGGAATTTGTTTATAAGTCCCAATAGGGCCGAGGTTTTACTTCCAGTTAGGCACTGGATGGTTTCCTCGTAAAACTTGCTTTGTGCTTTAAGTTCCTTTACGTTTTGTTTTTAATTTCCGCATAAGTTTCGCGATTGGAACCTACTACCATTCACCCCCCCTCTTGTAGTAGTTCATCTAAAATAACAATTGGTATCAGAGCAGGTGCTCTTGATAAACCGGGTAACCCCGAGGAGCAAGTTCCAGGCTAGGATGGATATCTACAAGGAATGCAGTGAATGGAACTCAACCCTAGAACGTTCCGAATACCACGTGAAGACCAAAGTCTGCTTGTGAAGCAGATGTGATTCAAAGATGAACATCTTTGAGGTAAGTGTCTCGTCTTTGAAGTCTTGATTATATGCATGACATTATGTGTACAAGTTCCTTGTAGTATTTCTAGTTAAATTTTGGATTTTGTTTTGAAAGTTTGCAAATCAATTTTGTGTAACCTCAAATTTGATTTATAGAGTGAAAAGTATTTGTCAGATTTACAAATTGATTTATTTTTAAAGAATCGGTTTACTGGAAATAGTTCAAGGAACGTATTATGTAGAATTATGCATATTTGGTCTCTTGGAACCTGGATTATCCCTGTATGGAAACTTAATTCTTTGGGCAAGGTAATGAACGTATATTTTGAATATTTTCCAAAGAATGACCTTATCATGTGTATGTGTTTTTCTGAATATTTATTATGTAGACACATGATGTTTATTGTTAGTAAAGATAGTTGGTTTAACCGTAGTTGTTTTAATTATGGATTATTAATGTCTATTACTAACATGAAAGTACCCAATATAAATTGGGTAACCAAAGCCAAAAGATGACTGATTTTGCAGGCTAAGTGAGTGGAGACAACTTATTAATAATGATGAACTTTGGTTGTTTGTATATAAGCAATTATGTGCAAATTCCTCTCACTAGAAAGCCTTTATAAGAGGTTTGTAGTAGGTGAATCGACAACATGAATAAGTGTGTAAGTTGCCTATACATCTCTCTGTAAATATTGGTCATGTTCTTTTGGTATGTATTAATCCTTCACAAATTCCAATTGAAATTCAATTCCCTAATCTTATGAAGGTTATTTGTGAATGGATGAAAAGAGAAGTTGTTTGGATGTTTATAATGTATATCATGACAAACTAACTTCTCTTCTAGCTTTGTGCAAGTTATTAATCATTGTTTTGTAGGTTTGTCCATTGAGACAAATTGGTGCGTAAAAGTTTGTTCCATTAGGAGCTCAGTGCTTAAATTGGTTGGAACTTGGTGAACTTGGAATGATAAAACGAATTAGGGATACAGGAATAACAAAGCTTCTATATCAAGGTGCTATAGGAGTTAGCGTATACGTTCCTGTAAAGATTCTTGTTCAAGTTCCAGTTAAGTTCTTATTTGGAACAAAGCATTAATTCCTGTAGCAGACTCTTATGAAGGATAATGAGTTAAGATGATTATCTTTGACTGCGTGTTGGAGATTCATCATTTTGTTGATGGAACGACATCTAAAAGGGAGTATTCTTACAGGAACTTTATGTTTTAACACTTTTATGCTTTAGGTTTTATCTACCTCTTTTGACTAACCTACTGACATTTTAAAGGCACAAAGGAATCTCTTGGGTTGTGAACTTTCAGGTTATATCTTTTGAATGATAATATGAGGGACTTTGACAAGGTGTTGAAGAATTTGAGATTAAATCAACACGTTCCTCTACCCAAGATACAACGGTCTAAAGGACCAGAAGGACATGTTCCAACTTTATGTCAAAAGGAACATGGAAGAGTTGAAGGTTTATAATAGGAGGGAACTTGCATTATCTCGACAGCGAGGATCCAAAAGAGATGATGATAGCCAAATCAAGGTATCTCTTGCTATAAACCTGCAATGGAAGAACTTTGACTTATAATACTAACACGAAAGGTAAAATTTCTACATAACAGGAAGTTAGTAAGTCAAGTTCCTATCCCATTGTGAATATTTTTCTTGTCAAGTTTTTAATGCACATTCTGGTTTTCAATTGCTTGTAACTCTAGTTGTTTTATGGCTTCAAAATGACATCATCAATAAAGAGTGGAAATGTCACATATGAAGGGAGTCAAAAAGGGAACACATCATTTGTGGATCTCAAGGTGATTCCTAACAACAACCTGACATTTCTAGGTTTTATTGAAGATGAGATACCTCTATGCTTCAAACTGTGAACATGTTAATCTTTTCATGCTTGATAAACCTAGTAGGAACTCGATAATAGGTATATGTACATGTAAGTTCCAAACAGGTTAAGATCGAGAAGCATGAGAATGAAACACATGTTACATTCTCTTTCAACATCAGGTAGATGGTAAGCAACACTAATCCATTGGATCTTAGTGATATGGATATGTTTACCATGTGATATGTAGAGACTAATTGAAAGAGATGTCTTGTTTATAAGTAATGAAAGCAAATGAATACTTGGTTTCTTTTCTTAATAGAAGAGATGATGAACTGTTTATTGAAAGTCTTTTCTATCACAGGGTATGTGGCTAAGTATTCATCACTTATGAGATTATAGATCTAACAATGGAACCTAGTTCCAGTCATGTTTAGTGTTTGTTGCAGGAACACAGGATTGTCAACAAGTTTCCAATTTTGAATCATGAAAGACAAGAAGAGAACAAAATTATATACTAATGGTCTTTTCAGGTTCTTTAGAATAGTTTTCAATGTCTCTGGCTACATCATCAACACTGAAGCAATAGATCTTTGATGAACAAGACACCCTATGTTCTACTTAGGGATGTTTGATGATAGAAGTACCAAGGCGATTTATCCATAAACGCCTAGACTAGTAAAACATATAGAGTTGACACTATCATGTTTAATGTGCCATAAGTGAACATATTTTGAGACTAACAGGTTTGTTCCCATCAAACAGGTTATAAAGATGAACTCACAAGTTACTGTAGAACTAACTGAGTTCCTAGTAAAGAAATATGTCACTAAGAATAACAGCAAGGGATAGCTACATATGTTGAGGAACTTTTAGATGTTAAGTTCCAACTCATGCAGCAAAGTTCAATGAACTCAATATAAGAAAGCAAGTTCCAACGAAGTTCCAGAGCTGAGATAATATTTGTTCTGACCAGCAATATCTCAACAAACTATGGAACTAAAGTGTCTTATATGCATATGTAACCAAGGCCGAGCCTCACGACATTGAAGGATTTGAGGATGTAGCTTGAAGATTAGATGTGCAACAGGAACTCGATGAGCTTAAAAGGAAGAAGGTGTGTATTACATTCTAAACCTATTCTAGAACACCTAAAAAGGGTCGGAGATCAAAAAGGGTGTTCTGGAAAAAGCTTGTTGAGTAAGGCACGTGAATGGAACAAAGCTAGGTTGGTTCTTAAAGGAAACAACCAATACAAAGGTATGTATTGTTTTTAAGGAACTTATTGCTCGTGTAGCTAGACTTGAAGGTAATTGAACATTATTTTATCTTGTTGTTTATATGGGATTAGAGTTGTACCACATGGATGTCTTGGATGTCTTTTGTATAACATTTTGTTATAGATGTCTATGTGGAACATACTCTAGGATAGATTGCTATCCAAGTTCCTTCTTGAAAATTGAGCTTTAAAATTATCAATTTTTGTTTTCAAGATGGATTGAGTTATTAGTTGTACTTACTTACATTAATTATATTTTTGGTACAACTAACGAGACATTGTGCATTGATTTTTGCTAATCTATGATAAGAAAATATATTTTTAAGCATTAACCACTG